TGCGGGGAGGGGGCTTTTCCCATCACCGCTGCCCCTCCCCCCTTCCCTGGTGTCCGTTGCCATGGCTACACCGCACGTGCCTTGCCCCGCTTTACGGCCCTCCGCGGGCGTCACTTTCCAGACTGGAGCCAGGTGACTCGCGGGGCCCGCCCTATTCGGCGTAGTCCTAAAGCAGGGGGTCAGCTGACCCGGCCAGGGGGTCAGCAGGGAGCCGGCCCAGCTTGCAGACGATGCCAAACTGCTCCAGCCAGCTCAGTCCAGCGCGGGCTGTGGCAGGGTCTCCCCAAACTGGATGACTCGGCCACAAAATGGCAGGTGGATTTTCATGTGGGTCGATGTGAAGTCAGGCCCATTGGGAAAACGTGGGGACGAATTTAGCTGTGACCGCTCCAGAGAGAGATCTTGGAGGCCTTCTCTGAAGACGTCTGCTCCGTGTTCAGCAGCATTCAAAAAGCAAACAATGTTAGGACTCAGTAAGGAAGCGATAGCGATGATCCTTATTGCCTCTATATAAACCCATGCTACGCCCACATCTTGAATACGCTGTGTTGATGTGATACCTCTTTTGATACAAGGCAATCTTGGCATTGGGAAAAGCTTAGAAAAGGGGCAACAAAAATTAATAGGGCTATGGAACGGCTGCCATATGAGGAGAGATTACTAAGATTGGGACTTTTCATCTTGGAAAAGACAGTAGGGGGATATGATGGAGGTCTATAAAATCATGACTAGAGAAGGCAAGTAACACAAGAACTAAGGGTTTCCAAATGAAATTATAGGTAGCAGGTTTAAAACAAACAAAAGGAAGTATTTCTTCATGCAACACACAGTCACCCTGTGGAACTCCTCGCCAGAGGATTCTGTGAAGACCAGGATTTTAACAGGGTTCAAAAAAGAACTAGATAAATTAATAGAGAATAGGTCCATAAATGGCTATTAGCTAGGATAGCAGGAGTGGTGTCCCTAGCCTTTGTTTGTCAAGGAATGGGTGACAGGAGATGGACTGCTTGATGACTGCCTGTTCTGTTCATTCCCTCTGGGACATTTGGCATTGGCCACTGTTGGCAGACAGGATACTGTGCTAGATGGACATCTTACACAGTATGACTGGTCTTATATTGTTCTTCTTGATTTGTCAAGATGTCTTCATGATGATCTCAAAATGTTGGAAGAAAACATATATTTACTTACAGAATTGAAACCCCCCCCCCCCAACAGCAGCATTTCAGTACTCTGAAAAACTTCTGTAAACAAGGCTGCAACTAATTGATCTAATTTTGTTACTTAAGATGAGGAATGAAAAGTAGAGGGAAAATAAACCTATTTTTAAAAATTATTTTGGCTTTAGTAACTTAGTGGCCTTAGCAACATGGGACAATATCTATATCCTATATCTATATCTATATCTATATCTATATCTATATCTATATCTATATATATTTTCATCTTCAAAATGACCATTGCATTCAATCAATGCCTGTACTCCTTGTAAGGACTCCCTGCACAAAGGGCTAAGGTGTATTTCACAACTCTTGAAATAATATTCAAATCATTAAGTGCATCCAATAGTGCATCTGAAATCTGTTTCCGTATGATCCCCCTTCTGCCCGTGAACCTGGATTTGTTGAAAGGGCATGAAGAGGGAATTTAGGCAATGATGTGACTTCACAGGAGAAGAAGCTAAGAGGGAAAAAAACACATCAGTTTTCAAGTGCATTATAGTCTAGTAGATGGAGAATAGCATTCTTCCTATTGTATCTATAAATTTGAAATGTTAACTGGTAATTTTCTGTCTTTTCTCCCCCTAGAATGTTGGCTTCTAGGGCATTTAACCTAATTGGCAAGCGTGCCATTTCCACCTCCATCTGCATGAGAGGACATGGTAGGTAACTTGTTTAATTTTAGGTATGACAGCGGAGGTAATGTAACATTTTATATGCTCTTCTTAAATCTCCCAGCTTTAAACTTTATAAAAATCAGGTTTTATAAAACCTAATTTAATCACTAGTATAAATAGCAAAGACTGGGAATTCCTTGTGTTTGGAAATACTTCACAAGAGACGACAACATTGCAAGTAAAGAATCTTTAATCCTTCCTCATATTTGTATGGGTTGAGAAATATGAAATGTCTCTAAAAACCTCTTAACCCTGTCTTTGCTATCTCAGTAATTTCTGAGAGCCAAATGTGGTTTGCTGGTAGCACACTGTTGTTCAGGATTATTATTATCATCATTATTTTTGGCAGTTTGGTATGCTAAGGATATTTGACCCAGCACAAGCTGGGTATTTCGAACTTAGGCGTGTTTGCACAGGATGGGATATTATGCACATATTGAACAGCGACTGTGAAAACAAGGCAGAAAAAACAGAGTCAAAGAGCAGTGCCAAAATCTCATATTTTGGGCTTATCTACACTTAGAAGACTAAAGCAGTAGAGCTGTACCCGAATTCTTCTGTCAACCTACTGCTGTCTAAATAGAGACTTATGTCAGCTTAACAAAGCTATCAGGGATGTAGCATTTCATAACCCTGACTGATATAAAATGACATAATTTGCCAATGTAGATGGAGGCTTTACGTCTAGTGGCAAGAAAGTATAGTTGGTAGTCTGGACCATCACCACTAGATGGCATCACAGAACTACAATAGCCCTAAGGGTTTTGGATTAATAGAACCTAGACATGGTAATTGGATGAAATTGTTTAGGAAAATACAACTTGAGGGCTTTCTAAATAGTTAAAGGAATGTTGTCAACTTAAAATAGAGTACATTTTGGGAGGGGAAAAAATAGTTGAAATTACTTTCAGGTATTACAAGTTCCTCTGAGACCTTTTGCTAATTTTTATAGTCTGAAAATGTTTCCTCATGGGTATCTTTAAAAAAAAAAAAGTCTGTCCTTTGATGCTGCAATACGCATAACATGAATAAATGGGATAAAGAATAACTTTAAATATTATAATAATTTTAGGTGTTTCTTATAACACTAGTTTAAAAAAAAATCAGACAGAAGCATTCCTCTTCCCTCCCTCCTTTAAAACTTCTTGGCATTTTTTTGCAACCTTAAGTTGAAAGAGATATTCCTGGTATTTTTGGCTTCTGTACATAAGTACATTTGATTCTCTTTTACATCAAACAGGTATTGCGAAAGTGGAAGACTTCAGTCTTCCGAATTATGTAGATCGTCGTACCATTCCCCTGCCTGAAGTGGAATATGTAAAGAATCTCTCTGCTGAGCAGAAAGCCCTGAAAGAAAAGGAAAAGGCATCATGGAGTGCCCTCTCCATTGATGAGAAGGTTGGATGTAGGTATTCGGGCATCATAAGTGACTCATAACAATACTTGGGAGGTGCACCACCTTCCTGTGCTCCCACCAAAATTTGTATTGCTAAATAGGTTGCCCCCACATGACCTCTTCCCTGACAGCCACTGGCATGGAAAAATAAGACAATCCTGCTACCAAGGAGGATGTAATCTGGTCTGCTGTGTGTTCAGTGCATGCAGTATTGATCGACATCTCACAAGAAACATATGAACAGAGAAGGAAACCTCCAACTCTCTCTAGTTGTAAGCTCTTATCCTGCAAATGGATCTGTGTGGGTGGAAACACTTTGATCAGTTTGGAGCCCCCTGAAGTTATTGGAACTCCACTGTATGCAAAAGCCCCCTGTGTGTATTAGGGATGTTAAATTGCGGGTAATCAGCTAATCGAGTAACTATTTGAGCTGTAATGAGCAAACGTAGGCTGCGTGGTATACTCAAGGACATCAAGCTTTGCACAGTGACCTGCTGCTCACTCTGCCTTTCTGAGAAACCCCTTGCTCTTTTTAGAGCTTTAGAAGCTCCTGCTTCCCCTTCTACTTTACCCATTTTTGCAGCTACCATCTCTCTATATAAAATCCTTTAGGTGGAGGTGTGCTGCTAAGCAGTCAAAGGCACCGCTTGAGTTACTGGCTGAAGGAGAGAGAAGCTGGTAAAATCCAGGTTTCACAATCGGTGGAGAACGTTAACATTTTCCCCTGCTTATGGAATAAGACAAGCTCAGTTAAATGATATTTGTTTTTCTGTGTTGGGGAAATCCTGGACATAGTGACTTGTTTTTGCTTGTTGCTAACAGGTGATATTAATTAGAAAAGGTACTACACAACAGAAATACATGCATACTTTTAGTTGGTGATTAATAAAATATTAAACAAATCTTAATATGATTGATTCAAGCACATATTTAGATGTAGAGACATTTAGAGTTGCAGGTGTAAGTGTATCTTCATACCAGTGTGTTGTGTCTAGTGAGGGCTCCCAACAGCTTGGGAGCCATATACAGTATGTGCTGTCATATCCTTTTTGTCAATATAATGAGTCTTATGTTACTTCAGCATTATCTGGTGTAATGTATTTCTTTTTGAAGCTTCTCTACATATGCAATAAACACTTCAAATTATATTTTTATAATGCCTTAAACACACTTTAGCAGAGTAGAAATAGCCTTTTAAAAAACTTCAAACTTTCGCCCCCAGATTAGCACCAAGGCTGTTGATATTAAGAGAACCATGCAGGATGTCAGGAGATTTGGGTTTTAATATGGCTTCTATCAGCTGCTGAGCTACTTTGGGCCAGATCAGATAATAGCTCTAGTGCCTTGGTTTTCCCATTTACAAAATGAGTCTAAAAATAGTGTCTTAACTCAGAGGTGCGAAGCTTAATGTTTATAGCGCACCTTGAGAACTGTGTATGCAAGATGGTGTAAACTTAAAAGTTGTTATAACATCTTTACAATTTAGAATTGGCTCTACAAATTAATGTCATTTCTCTCTATTCCCCGCCCCCTCCAGCATACACGCACAAGGATTTCAGCCACTTCTGTGTCAAGCTGAGTGGTCCATACGAACAGGGGGAATTAAAATAGATATAGCAAAGATGGGTTTCGCTGTCTCTAAAATTGTTGGGAAAATAGGTAATTTAAAAAAAATTCAAAAACGTAATGGACAACAAATGTCCTGTCATTTCTCAAGATGTATGCTCAGTCTCAGGAGCCATGTGCTAGTTGTTAAAACTCAACCGAGCAGTCTTTTGTGTAGCTCACAGATAATGCAGTCTTAAAGATTGATGCTTTCTCCTTTTCAGTGTATCACATCAAATTCAATGAGACCTTTGCTGAAATGAATAGGGGATCACGTGAGTGGAAGACTGTTGTTGGTGGTATTCTCTTCTTCATTGGCTTCACTGGCCTTATTGTCATTTGGCAGAGAATGTATGGTAAGTAAACCATATGTAAGGGTGATCTTAATTCTTACACACTCGCTCATATCAACTTTCAGTTTAAAAAAAAAAAAATCCTAACATTTTGCTTAGAACCCCAAATCTTGCATGCTAGTGTGTTACTGTGTGAAGATTGAGGAAATGCTGAATCCTTAGGTCATGCCAGTTTCTGCAAGGTTCTTTCCTATCAGTTTTAATCAGATAAATAATTTGACATCTAGGAATCTTAATCAGATTTGTATGTAGAAACCATATTCCTGTACCAATGATCACCTAGCTTTCCCTTCTTCCTCCAAAACACAGTCCCAGCACTAGAATCATCTCCCCTTTCTGAGAATCTGGCTTTATTTACAGTGAAACTATGAACCATAACAGACTCCAGCCTAAGCTTTCTCATCATATTTGGCTGTTCTTAGGGTTCCTCTCACCTTCAGGACTGTCTGGCTCGGGCCCTTTCTCTGAAAGATAGCCACTCTGACCTCTATCATAGAGTGCAGTTAAATGAGCCACCTGCAACAGAGAGTTGGCAGGACTCCTAGGGTCTACACTGCAGGGCTTAACTCGAAATAAGCTATGTAAATTGAGCTACATCAATTGCGTATCTTATTTCAAAACAGGGAGTGTCTACACAGCACTTATTTCAAAAAAGAGTATTCTTCCTCTGACTTCTCTTATTCCTAGTACAATGAAGGTTACAGGAGTCAGAGTAAGAAGTCCTCCAGCTTGACAGTATTTTGACACTATTTCGAAATAACTCTGCTGTGTAGACACGGACTAAGTTATTTCAGAATAGTGCTAGTTATTTTGAAATAGTGTTGCAGTGTACATGTACTCCTATTGTCTCCCTGCTGCACTGGCATCTGCTAATGAGTTACAGAAGAAGGCTGCCCCTCCTTACAGCATCCTCACCAATCAGTAAATCAGTAACAGGATATTTAGAATCTATACACTGAAAACTAAATAGCTGCCATGGGATCTATTCCCTGGGCAGGTATCTTTAATGTGCATTTTCAGCTTTGAGTTAAGTGGATTTTTCATGAGATCATGTAAATGGTGTTGAACATCCTTATATCACACTTAAATCCCAACTGAATTTTGAATTGCAGTTTATGGTCCTATTCCTCACACCTTCTCTGAGGAATGGATTGCTATGCAGACCAAGAGAATGCTGGACATGAGAATTAACCCAATCGAGGGTTTCTCAGCCAAATGGGACTACGACAAGAACGAATGGAAGAAGTAAAATCACTCCTGGGATCACTGGACCACTGTCCTCTTGAATTTTAAATGATTCCATTACCTACATGTGACCTCATTGCTTATGTACTGGAACAAACTCTCCATTTAAATATAAATGCTAATAAATGTCTGGTTTACTTGAAAGACTCTTGTATTGATTTTAAATGTTTTCAGTTGTGTAGGCCCTAATGAACATAGATTTTTGCCCCTTAGCAAACTAAGTACTACTGTATTGTCGTGTTTTGATAGCACAGCGGGTTCAGTAAAAGGGAATGTAATGCCCATGTTTCCACTTACTTTCAGTTGAGATGGTCTGCCTTTATAAGAACAACACTCAATTTAAAAATGGAATGGAGCTTTTTTTCAAATGCATGGTCCCTCACACTTATAATATTGAAGTAGTGAAGTTTCATGGTGTTCTTTACCAATGCTTTTATCTGAGCCATTGGTCCTGGAAATCCCTCTAAGTGGTGATTTATCTTTTATTAGCTCTTCACATTTTCTTTAGACTGTTACATTTCTTCTTAAGTGCAGAAGTAGCAGAATCTAAAGTGTTTGTACAGCCAGAAGTCAGTATGTCTACATAAAAATCTGAACTGCATTCAGTACAAGCAGATCACAGCTTCCAGGAAAGCTACCATGGACTATCTTCATCCCTGAGATAGATAGCATTTCAGTATGCAAAACACAGTAGCTTGACAGATTTGAATCCAACTCACCCCCCCTTTTTTTTGGGGGGGGGGAGGAGGAAGGGGTAAGGAAAGTTGGCTGAGAACTCTCTCTAGCTTCTGACCTCCATTTCCAGTCTGACCCATGTCTGTTTCATGCCCAGATGTCATTTTTGGAGAGTAGGAAAGGTTTTATAATGGATAGGATGCTTCTCACTTTGTGTGGCCTCCAACTGATTTTTCTGCAGATCAGCAGCCCAAAAAAAGGTTTCCTGCCCCTGGTTTATAAGAAGCAGGGCTTAGGAGAGGTCACTAGGGCTAAGTCTACACTGCATAGTTATTCCAAAATAGCTTATTCTGAAATAGCACGTCTACACTGCAGGGAAGCCTCAACGTTAATTCAAGGCAGGCTTCCCTAATGTAGATGTGCTATCTTGATTTAGAGCCCCAGGAGGAATAATTTAGAATGGCCTTTGTGAGGGGCTATATCGAAATAGCAGAAGTGGAGTGTCTACACACGCTTTATTTTGGAATAGGCGTTGTTCGTACAGTGAGGTTTATGGAAGTTGGAATAAGCTGTCTTATTTCAAAATTATTTTGGAATAACAGCTGTTATTCCAAAATAACTTTGCTGTGTAGATGCACCCTATCATATTTCTGTTTGGGCCTGGACTATTTTCTTTAAATGCAAATTTTACAAAACAGAGAAATATACACACTTTAATATTTACAATTGGGCTCCCTTTAGTACCGGATGAGAGGCTATGTAGACTTCCTCATCTCTGGCAGAACATTAGGAGCATTGAAGTGTTCAGAAATGAGCAATACCTTAGCCAATAGGAATGGTCTATTTACCTGAAATCCTCTTGTATTTGCATAAAGTGATCTGAATGCATTCTATCATCACACCTTTTCTCATGCAGCGCTTGCATAATGGGTGAAGTAATAGAAGATAAGACTATGCTTCTAGCTGGGCAGGGAGGAAATGTGTAGATTCCGTGGGGACTGGTACCAAACAATCCTAAGGTAGTTAATCAGCATCCCTTAACACATCACGTGTGATCAGCACTAATGGCATTGTGAGGTGGGCTGCCTTTGGGGTTACGTTCTATATTTTGGACTGTAGTGGAGAGAGCTAACAGGGGCCTAGGTCACAGTATTCCTGTAGACCAGTCACTAGGTCCAATGTTTAAAAGTGGCCTCTCAGCTTGTGAAGTTATTTTTGGGTACCATGTTTAAGAGATTTTTTTTTCCCTTCCCCTCCACCTCTATCTTTCCCATTGAACAGGAGCAACAACTCTGAAACCAGTTTGTGTAAGTCTAAAGCTGGATGCCCAGTGACCCAAAATCAGAGGGCTTGGTGTTTACTTCCTCTATTGCATCCCTTTTCCCCCTCTTGGTCTCCTCTTTCCTAAGCTGAAAAGTCCCAGTCTTAAAACATCTCCCCTCCACTGTGCAAAGGAGAAAAAAAGAAGGCAAATTCCTGATTGAATTTCTCTGTAAAATCAGAAGCAACTTCACCTGTGATATATACATGCTTATGAGCTTACAGAGAGCTTTTCAGGTCTGGGAAATACAAGGTGGAACAGATTAGCTAGCAGCAAACATTTCAAGGGACCATTCAAGGTGCGGTGAGCAGTTAACACTCTCCAATCATGGGGAGGGGCTATTAGTTATAATAACTTAGGGAGAGGGTTAATTCTCTAGTTATAACCTAAATTGTTGTAATACAGCATCAATCTTTAGTCCATGATTTTAGTGTCTAGCAAACAGGTGCAACTAGCGAGGGGTGATATGGGGGCCCACTGGCCAAGTGACACGCCCCCAGCTGAAGCAAGGGCCAGGACACTTGCTCACCATGCTGGCCCTGCCTCACCCTTCCCTGCCCCTGGCCCTTGCTCCACCCCTACCTCACCGTGTCCCCCAATCTCCTGAGCACTGTGGCTTGGGGGACTAGTAGGTGTGGGGTCTGTTGCTGGCACTGGGAGTGGGGAGGGGTCCAATCTTCCTGCACTTAGCAGCAGGGGCAGTGGAACCGAACGGCCTCAGCTCACTCTTCTCTCCGACCACATTGCTCTGTTTCCTGCTGGTGAGCGTGGCGTGGTTCCACCCTTCCCCTGAGCAACATGAGCAGAGCAAGTGGGGGCTGTATTGCCCCGCTGCCAGTGAGTGTGGGACCTCTGCTGCAGCACCAGGGCTCCTACTGCAGTGCCAGGCCCCTCCTTGCTAACCCCTGGGCCACTCAGAGACTCTAGCCCCATTGGCTGCTGTCTGGCCCTTTGCCCCTCCTGCACATAGCTTTTTTGAGTACGTATGCACCTCCGTGCCCCTCTGGGTTACCCCTGCTAGCAAAGTTGCAAATTTAAGCTCACAGGCTCATCTTTTGAAGCAGAAAGGTTTCCTTTAAGGATGGGGACTGAGAGGTTAGGTATGGTGATGGCTTTTTGGAAAGCATTCGCCCGCAGAGGATGTGGTGGTTTTGTCTTTGACTGTTTTCCTGCGGAGGCTGATGCGAGAGCACCCGCCACTGTGTGTGAGAGGCATGTGTAGGAGCCCGGGATCTTGAAAGTTGTATTGATTGTTGTAACAGTGAGGATAGGTTTGACCATAGCGGACGTGAGAACAGAATCTGGCCTGACAAAGACAGAGAAATGACTTGGTTTTGTAGGGCTGATATTCCAGACAGGACCTTACAGAATATGGCCCACCAGGTGAACTCAGCTGTGCCAGGAAACACTGGGGAGAGCAGGGAACAAATGCCTGGAGCAGACGGTGGAGGGAAATGAATGGGGGAAGGGAGGGTCGCTTACACTCTGTCAGGTGGAAGGGACTGAATGCAGCAGCTGTGGGGAAAACCGCATGCACGTAGGGATTGCTTGCTGTGGCTTTGCCCTGCACTAGTGTCTCACTTAAATATTTAAATCATCTTCCTATGCTATAGTTCTGCACCACCCCAGAGCTTGGAAGCACTTTTGCAGCAGCTGCTGCAGTGAGATTCAGCACCGACCTGGCAAAGGACAGGGAAAGGGCATAGGGGGAGTTGCAGGGAGAGGAGTGAATGACTAACTCCAAAAGCTTCCTCTCAGCCGGTGTGTATGCACAGTCCCCAAAGGGGCAGGGGATCCGGAAGAGAAACCTGAGTCGCACATCCTGGGCACCTTCCTTCATCCAACTCCGCCCTGTACTGGCTGCAATACTCAGTGCTCCCTCCTTCCACTGAGAAGCGGAGACCTAGGCAGAAGCGGTAGTGTAGACGCTGGTATAGTTTTGTCGATAAAAGTCCACTTTTGTCGACAAAACTAGGTAGTCTAGACACACCCTTTGAATGAAAGACTGTCTTGCTTGTCTTTTTTTTTTTTTTTTTTGGCAGAGTCCTTGTTACTAAGAGGGAGCCTTTGCCTTGAGAAAGAGCTGTCATGGGGACTGGAATGAGCAAGGTACACGCACCTCAACACTGCAGCTAGTACATTTGAGTCAATAATGCTGATAAATTGGAGAACCTTTTACTCTGATCTAGCTCAGGAATCCTGCGCTGACCAGTAGGAAAGAGGAGATGCCTGCATGTGATCTAATATATCTTTCCCTTCTGTGATTCTTACAGCTTAGAAGCTTGTTGTAGTTTTCCCTGGGAAAAGGACAGAGATTTTAAAGACGATCATTGTTAAAACAAACAACAATCCCTGGCAAGTCTCAGAGGGGTAGCCATGTTAGTCTGTATCTGAAAAAACAACTAGGAGTCCTGTGGCACTGTAGAGAGATTGATTTGGGCATAAGCTTTCATGGGTTAAACCCACTTCATCAGATGAATTGGAGAGTTAGTCTATAAGGTGCCACAGGACTCCTTGCCGCTATTTCAGAGTGGGAAAATTCACAGTTGCGGCCATGCTCCTGCAAGTAGCCAAGGCCATAAACCACGTGCTGCTACAGAGGGTCATCCCTCTAGGGAATGTGGACAGCATCGTCAATGGCTTTGCTCCCATGGGCTTTGCCAGCTGCAGGGGGCCATAGACAGGACTCACATCCTCATCCTGACCTCCAAACACTGTGGCTACGTCTAGACTGGCATGATTTACCGGAAATGCTTTTAACGGAAAAGTTTTCTGTTAAAAGCATTTTCGGAAAAGAGCATCTAGATTGGCACGGAAGCTTTTCCG